TACCTGATATCCTGGTAGAGTTGCTAGATGGTCGGGATTCGTCTGGATTCTCCCGACATTTTAAGTGATCTACAGACTCCCAACAAAACTCAAAATCTCCAGATAAACAGCTTCTCGGAAAGTTAATGTATGGCCTTTGATTTAATATAAACTGAGTTAGTAATTTGACTGAACTTTGAAGTAAATTGTTTGAATTTTAAGTATATTCTGAATAGTACTATTTAACTTAAATTTTAAGTATATCTTAAAGGATTTAAATTGGTGGACTCTAGTAAAGTTTAATGCCTAATACATGTGGCAACCTAAATATTAAGTGTACTTTTTTATACTTTTTTTTCATTTTTTTTAAATATTAGTAATCCTATTAATTAACATCACTAATAATTCCTTTAACCACTACTCCTGGTAAGCTGAAAATGCTTGTAAAAGTGTAGTTAAATTAGTTTTGTTTAAAGTACTTTTTGTAGTCTGTTTTTAAAAAATAAACTTTTTATATTTAATATTCATTACTCCCGACAACAACCCCAAAATCGAGACTCTTTTAAAATTTGTCCAGATATCTTGGTCTACATTGGTCTTGGTCATTTTGAAGTACATTTATATATTACGTAAGGAGGTATATATTTTTGCAACCAATATTTTTTCATTTATCATAATGAAGCTAAGTGTTGAGATCGTCTCGATATCGCCTTCCGAAGTTCTAGACCTTCGTAGACCTCGAGCTTTATGTGCAATACTGTTTTTGATTATTTCAATTATATTTAACCCAAACCACCCAATATACACGAGTATTGACACGTGCTATTGAATATTTTAGGAAAATCTTAAGTATTGACATGATTAGAATTTAAGACGATTGTTTTATATTAAATGAAAAGAGAATAACTTTTGACCAAGAACTGTTAAAAATATATTTAACTATATTAACTTATCGTAGTATTTTTACGTTATAATAGTATTCTTTGGTTCGACTATTGTAATGTTTATCGTCAAATAGATACAATGAAGTAGTAAGCAAACATGACGTCATTGACCTACTGTCTGATGTTAGTCTGTGACAGGTTCAAGTAGGTTACAAATACAATACGCATTTAGAATTAGGTACATATGCTTAGCCAAGTAAGGTATGAGTCCGATGGGGCGCCAAAGTGCAATTTACAGCATGCATAAACATATTAAAATGATCATACGATTATAACTAACATAGTCGAATTCACAAGTTTTGTGGAATTAGACTATGTTAATTACCTTTTAGTAAAAAAAGTTTTTTTTTAACTTATGATTATTTAAAATATAGGCGTTACAGCTAATCTGTTTAACGACGTAAATATCGCTTGGCAAGCAAACCGGGTTTGATTATCTCATTCATTGATTAATAAAATTTTTGTACTTTACCATGTGCTCGGTGTTAAGGAAAAAATCATGAGGAAACTTGTATGTCTGAGGAAAAAATATTTCGAGGACACGTAAAGTCCGCCCATACGCTATACGTGCGGCAAACTTATTATTCCATAAACTTTCCAGAAATACAGACTTGTAGCCATCAGTGGGACGTAAGTAAAGTGTAATTTTGCTTTATTTTATTTCACTAAACACCGCTAAGTAAATCACAATAGTAAATCACGATAAGTAGTCAAATAGAATATTAGGATTCAATATTTAACGTTAAGTTTAAAATGTTTTTAATAACATAAGAACCCGAGGTAGTCAATTCCTCGCTGTGCACAAGAACCCGGTCTTTCGCAGACTTCACCTTGGCGAATTTTGCGTCGGGACTAAGGTCTATACTTGTACAAGATACAACTGACCCAGAAGCTCAAAGTTCAAGACCATAGATAACGCCGTTTGTTCGCTGAATGGGCTTCGAAACATTTAGAAGAGGACCCTCATTTTGGCTTAAAAATCATCTTTACCGACGAGCCGGATTTTTGCCGTATATGAGACGACACCAACCCACGTGAGGTTCACCAGGTGATAATGCATCCTCAAAATACTTTCTTTCATGCTAATTTCTTATATTTCGCCATCGATATAATTTTAGTCACAATCGCCCGTTTGAGACAAGGGCTTTGTACGCGCTCACAGTCATTCAACAATATTATCCTTTAATTAGCAACGAATATTTTTCATCATTATCATTACCGTCTACAACGCACGCAGCTTCTATTGCTGCAGTGGTAGTGTTGTAGGCTTTAAAGTTTTAAGGAAATATACGTGGTAGAGCCATGCTGCAGTTATATTAGTAGTATAGCTGTAGGACGAATGGGTCGGCTCGACCGGGGAAGGACCACGCTCTCACGGAATACCAGCGTGAAATAGTAGCTTAATGCTGCTGTGTTTCGTATGGTGAGTGTAGAGAACCGGAGAGCCTTTTTACTGGAAACGAGGCATTCCATCTTAGTCCTCACGGGTGACAACGCATCTGCATTTTGATTCGTAATCGAGGATAGATGTAGATGTCTATGGGCCACAGCAACCACTTACCATCAGGTGGACTGTGTGCTCGTTTGTCACCCTACCCTATAAAAAAAAGGAAATACACAGACTCGGATAGTTAGTCATAGTCGTAGTTATAGTCATTTATTGCATTTTCATGCATGACTAAACATAGGGTGCGTTTGGCAGAAAAAAACGCTAGCAAGCGCTTATAAGCGCTGAAATAGTTTTCGGCCAGGACACGATTGCTACTTCAGTAGCGCTGACACAATCCGCCATTTTGCTTATTTAATTTGTTTGTTTTGAAGTAGAGTTTATAAGTTGTTTTGTGCAATATTAGTTTTAAGTAATATAATAACATGAATAAACATATACATGTTATTAAAAATTTATAATTGGTAAGTTTTTAATATGAATACTTTACAAACATATATTTAAATTAGGTTAGGTTCCCCGGTGAAAACTAACATCGTGTCCTGGAGGAAAATAGCTACTTACGATTTGACAGCGCTTACCGCTTACGATCGCCATTTTGCTTACAAGCGCTTGCTAGCGCTTTTTTCTGCCAAACGCACCCATACAGTGGTCTAAGAATTTTCAGTACAATATCGTGATACCCATTTGGGCATCATCCATCAACCTATTACCTATAAAAGTCCACTGGTGAACGTGGGCCTCCTACATAGATTGCCTTCTTGGCGGATTTTGAAGCCACGTTGTAGCTGTATTATGGTTGTAACACGAATGGGTGTGGCTCGACCGGGGAAGGACCACGCTCTCACAGAATATCAGCGTAAAATAGTAGCTTAATGCTGCTGTGTTTCGTATGGTGAGAGATCTCTACATCAGAAGACCATTTTTTATTAGAAAGGAGGCATTCCATCTTAGTCCTCAGGGGTGAGAACGTATCTGCGTTTTTTATTCTTAATCAAGGATAAATGTAGATGTCTATAAGCCACAGCATCCACTTACCATCAGGTGGATTGTGTGCTCGTTTGTCACCCTTATTCTAAAAAAAAATCGCAGTTTTTTTAATTATTTTGTGTTATTATCAAGAAGATGCTGCTACCCGTTTCCGCTTTCCTGTTTCAGTTTCTAACTGTCGCCTGCGACACCCACGAACCGATATGGGGTTGTGGATATTCTTATACCGCCACTACACGGTTCGGCATAATTGGGCATAGCAGTATAGAAAAAAAGACCGGCCAAGAGCGTGTCGGGCCACGCTCAGTGTAGGGTTCCGTAGTTTCCCGTCCGTCACAATAACTGTTCCCACTTATGAGTTTAAAGGTCCAATTATGTTCGCGCTCCAGCAGTGCTCCGCACTCCTGCAACTGCTCCTGGTAGTGGGTACTGTTGTTTCCATCCAAGTTCAAAATGATTTTCCCAGAAAGCCCTTATAAAGTTCTACTTTTCAGATTTTTTTCATATTTTCTAAACTTATGGTTCAAAAGTTAGAGGGGGGGGGGGGACACACATGGTTTTTTACTTTTGGAGCTATTATTTCCGAAATTATTGACATTATCAAAAAATGATTTTAGTAAACCCCTATTCATTTTTAAATACCTTTCCAACAATATATCACACGTTAGGGTTGAAATTAAAAAAAAATCACTTCCCACTTTACATATAGGGGGGCTACCCTAATAAAACATTTTTTTCCAATTTTTATTTCACCACTTTGTCGGCGTGATTGATACACATATTGGTACCAAATTTCAGCTTTCTAGTGCTAACGGTCACAGAGATTAAGCGAGGACAGACAGACGGACAGACAGACATGGCGAAACTATAAGGGTTCCTAGTTCACTACGGAACCCTAAAAAGCAACATGGATTTAATTGAAAATATACCCTTATGATGAAGATTACTTAAAACTATTATAATTAAATAATAGATAAGATTTAAGCGCGTAACAGACGATAAGGGACTTTGTTTCATGTTATTTGATCATGTGTAAGTGACACAACTTTAAATAAATAATATTAATCTGTAAAAAGTTTGGTATTAAACATAGCTTTTTTCATGTTCTTTGATTTAATAAAATGTAGTAGTAGTAGTATAACACGATGTTACATTGGTATATTATGTTTATATATTACGTTGATATATTATGGATGTATGTATGTGTAATTTTAAGAAATATCTAATGTTTCAAATGAAACTGTCGAAAAGATGCAACCTCGCCACGATTTAAAACCGGTCCGTGTCGGAACAATTCATTTAATTTATCTTATATATATTTTCCCCACCACCATTATACCAATCATAGGTAGCCGAGCGAGTTAGTCACAAAAATAAATTCAAAATAAAAATTATAAAAAATAAAATAAACAACAAAATTATGACAAAACACTTACCTCACGATTTCCTTTTATAATAAAAAAAAATGTTAAAGATGGAACAAACGATGAGCAATTTCCGTTAACGTATTCTTACACATACAAAGGAAACAATTTTTACGAATTGAATAGTGCAGATCAGTATTTGATATCATCAATTTATATTTAACGTCTTTAAAATGTTACTTAAAGTAATTCAAATATCCTGAAATATAAAATGTATCAGATTCTTACAAATCTAAGACTCACCAATTCCGCAACGATTTTCTTTTCTAGGCGCTGGCACTCGTTCACAGGTTTTGTGAAGATGCGAGGGGTGTAAGGTTTTGCAGTCTGAAAATAAAAAATCCTTTAGTTTTATGATGGTTACTTAAAGTAATATATTAATGCACATAGACATCTGCCAGCACAAATACAAACTCTTAGTGATAGAGTCATGTTACAGCTATATTACGGTCGGTATTACACGAATGGGTCGGCTCGACCTAGGAAGGACCTCGCCTTGATAGAATTACCAGCATAAAATAGCAGCTCAATGCTGCTGTGTTTCATATAGTGAGTGTATCGGACCGGGGACCGTTTTTACTGGAAAAGAGGCATTTCATCTTAGTCCTCATGAAAAGATTTACTTAATTGCATCAAAAGACATAGAAGCCATCGCTAAACAACTACCATCTAAAATCCAGCCTCTCCCAGGTACAAAAAATGTTCATCAAATATTTACCACTGTTCGAGGACAATTTAAATATATAATAATTAGCTGTTTCTGTGAACGTTTAGCACCAAAGACATACAGGCCTCTTCCACTTGTAACTGCAAATGTGACAACCGATCTTGACAACAATCAAGCTGAAGCTAATGCAGTAAACGATAAAAATAACGAGATTGTTCCTGGATCGTACGCAAATGAGAAAAGCATTGATAGGAATATGCCGTGCAGCTCCAAAGCCAATGATGTCCTTATAAGCTCCGACGAAGACTTACCTTTAAGCCACTACAAAGTTTCTAAGGAGAAATCTCTTCTTAAAGAAATAGGGTTGATAGAATTAAGCCAAAATTAAAACAAGAATTGGTATCAATTTGTTTATAAAACACCTGAAACTTCTGATGATGAGCTTATGATGACATCTCTAAAACCAAAAAGTTCAACTGCACAACTTTATAACAACAAAGAGAACTAAGAAGTGAGACAGGGGGACTTTTTATTAAAACGTTCATGCCACAAACGGTAAGTTTTTACGTTTACGTTACGTTGTCGTACGTTTTTAAATATACTTGTGTAGTCGATGATTTGCACGAAGATGGCGAGATCAGGGTTACATTTTTACGTTCTGTGAACAAGAAAAACACATTTGGTCTCGAAAAGAGTGACATAGCTGACATCGACTACACTGACATAATATAAATTCTAGCTGAGCCTATAAAGACTACAACTGGTTACTTCGCCTACGCGGATTCCAGATGTGGAGGATCATGCACCTTCCCTGTTGGACCTTCTGCTGACCTCTCACCCGGACGGATATCAGATTTCCGTCGACGCCCCTTTAGGCTCCTCGGATCATTGTCTTGTCCGGAGTGTGGTGCCACTCACGCTGAAATCGCGGTTGCATTCTGCAGGCTGCCGCCGTGTTTGGCACTATAGGTCAGCTGATTGGGATGGGATGCGGTCTTTCTTTGCATCCTACCCTTGGGGGCGGGTTTGCTTCTCGCCGGATGATCCCAACGTTGTTGCGGATTCTGTCGCTGATGTGGTACTTCAGGGTATGGAACTTTTTATTCCTTCCTCTGTGGTGCCCATTGGAGGCAAATCTCAACCATGGTTTGGTCGCTCCTGTAAAATAGCATCATGCTATAAGCAGGAGTGCTACCAAGCCTGGGCTGACGCATCAGCGTCCAGGGATGTAAACACCAGCGCTCTAAAAAAGAAGTATAATTCCGCCTCTAGGTCCTTCAAAAGAGTCATTGCCAAGGCAAAGTCAGAGCACATAGGCAGAATTGGCGAGAGACTAGTTCGTCTTCCTTCTGGAACCCGTGCATTCTGGTCTCTCGCCAAGGCTGTCCAGGGGAATTTCTGTCAGCCATCTCTTCCATCTCTGCACAGGGAGGACGACTCACTGGCCCACACCGCAAAGGAGAAAGCCGATCTTCTAGGCTCTTTCTTTGCGTCTAACTCGACTCTCGATGACGGGGGGAGTACGCCGCCGACCATCCCGCGGTGTGAGTGCTCCATGCCGGAAGTGCACTTCACTCAGCGCTCGGTTCGCAAAGCACTCCTCTCCCTGGACATCCATAAGTCGAGTGGGCCTGATGGAATCCCCCCAATTGTGCTGAGGACGTGTGCTCCAGAGTTGGCACCGGTTTTAACGCGTCTTTTCCGGTACTCCTACTCCCTAGGCGTAGTCCCAAAATCATGGAAGACGGCTTTCGTCCACCCGATCCCTAAAAAAGGCGACCGCTCAGACCCGTCCAACTACCGGCCTATCGCCATCACCTCCTTGTTCTCCAAAACAATGGAGTCCATTGTAAACTGCCAGCTCATGAGGTACCTTGAGGATCACCAGCTGATTAGTGACCGCCAATACGGTTTTCGCCGTGGTAGGTCAGCTGGTGATCTTCTGGTCTACCTAACTCACAGATGGGCGGAGGCAGTAGAGTCCAAGGGGGAGGCATTGGCCGTTAGTTTGGACATTGCGAAGGCCTTCGATCGGGTTTGGCACAAAGCGCTTCTTTCGAAGCTCCCTTCCTATGGGCTTCCCGAGAAATTGTGCGATTGGATCACCAGTTTTCTTGCAGATCGGAGCATCAAGGTCGTTGTAGACGGTGCAAGCTCCGATTGCAAGCTTATTAATGCTGGTGTTCCACAGGGCTGCGTGCTATCGCCAACGCTGTTTCTTCTGCATATCAATGATATGTTGCAAACCCGTAGCATTCATTGCTATGCAGATGACAGCACTGGTGATGCTCTTTACACCGGCCGAGCAAATATTTCTCGGGAAAACGTCTCTGAGTGCCGGGACAAACTTGTGTCTGAAGTCGAGTCTCTGCTGGACAGAGTCTCGGATTGGGGGCGACTAAATCTAGTCCAGTTTAACCCCCAGAAGACACAAGTTTGCGCGTTAACCGCTAAAAAGAACCCCTTTGTCGTATCCCCTCAGTTTCAAGGCACTCCCCTTGTTGCCTCAGCCAGTATCGGAATCCTCGGCGTCGACATATCGAGTGACGTGCAGTTTCGTGGTCACTTGGAAGGGAAGGCCAAATTGGCCTCTAAAAAGCTTGGCGTGCTCAGCAGAGCGGGACAGTGTTTCATGCCGGCACACCGCCTGCAACTTTACAAGGCGCAGGTTCGGCCGCTCATGGAATACTGTTCCCATCTCTGGGCTGGGGCTCCCCAGTACCAGCTCCTTCCACTTGACCGCATCCAGCGCAGAGCGGCTCGAATCGTCGACGACCGAGTGCTTTCCGATCGGCTCGATTCACTGGCGCTGCGAAGAGATGTTGCATCTCTTTGCGTATTTTATCGCATCTATCACGGGGAGTGCTCTGAGGAATTGTTCGGATTAATCCCAGCCGCCAAATTTCGTGAACGCACTACACGGCAAACGTCCCGATACCATCTACACCATCTGGATGCTTGGCGGTCCACCACTGTACGTTTCAAAAGGAGTTTTCTTCCGCGTACAACCTCTCTGTGGAATAATTTACCACCGGTGATTTTTCCGGACCGATACGACCTGGGGACCTTCAAGAAAAGAGCTTACTCCTTTCTAAAGGGCCGGCAACGCACCTGCAATTCCCCTGGTGTTGCGGTTGATCATGGGCGGCGGTAGTCACTTAACATCAGGTGAGCCACATGCTCGTTTGCCCCCTCTTCTATAAAAAAAAAAAAAAAAAAAAAAAAAAGACTACCAAAAGAGGCCAACAGTATTACATATTTGAATATGATGTACACGTTTTAGATAAGTGATTTGGGACTAGTTATTTACCTAAAAGTTCCCGTTATTATATATGATAGTACTTATTGTGACTGTGATTTTGTTGGACTTTTTATTATAATTTGTTATTTAGACTACACAACAGAGTTTTTGACAGAATTTTTAAAGTATTAACAATGTTAAAATTTATTATTCTTCCTTTAATTTTGATTGGTATATCGTTATGTCTATTTAGTCACTGAGTTTGTCTCCTGGCTAACAACAATGTTCCCTAACTTTATGATGAATCTCTCGACATTTAAATAGAACAAAATATCTTAGGTAAATTTTATTTTTAGATAATGGTTGATGAATAAGTGGCGGTAAGTACAGTATTAGTTTGGCTTACACGTGTTATTTAAAAAAAAAAGTTATAGTAAAAGTTTGTATTGATTTATTTTACCAGTGACCCAAGAGACAAGGGACGTAATTATTTTAAGAATAAAACTGATTTGTTTAGTTGCAAAGGCCTATAATAATTCCTTTAAACTTTAATAAGAGAAAATATACTGATTAATCTCTTCTGTTTTGTTTTACTTACAATATACTGTATAATGTGTCCGTTACCCAAGAGACATTCAAAGTTGTCAGTTCTGACATTCTTGTTTAAAACCCTCTACATAAAATAATAAAACTAGATGGTTAAGTTATCTATATTGAAAGTTAAATAACTAAAAACATCTTTTAACACAAAAAGTTGATTTTAATTATATTTTTATATTAATATTAATAATAATTACAGTTTATTAAATCAAATTGACCTTTATGATAATTTTGAAATTTAAATTACGAAATAAAATTATCTTAATTGATTCCAATTTTCCTTTCTTTATGTACACGGGATAATGATCTTGTAAATATCATATTATGTAAATTTATATCGTAACCATATTTAACAAAAATTATAAAATCGGTATTTGTGTTAACTTTTAATAGCAATATAATCTCTATAAATAAAATCGATTACCATTCATTAACCTCGCTAAAACTCAAAAAACGGCTCGACCATCAGTATCATCATCATTACAGCCCTTCACAAGTCCACTGCTGAACATAGGCCTCCCCCAAGTAATGCCACAAAGCACGGTCCTGAGCCACCTGCATCCAACGACTTCCTGCATGTCTTACCAGCTCGTCACTCCATCTAGTGGAGGGTCGCCTTACACTACGCCTACCGGTACGAGGCTGCCACTCGAGAACCTTTCTTCCCCATCGGTTATCGGTTCTTCGAGCTATATGGCCGGCCCATTGCCACTTCAGCTTACTAATCCGTTGGGCTATGTCGGTCACTCTGGTTTTACTGCGGATATCCTCATTTCTGAGTCTATCACGCAGAGAAACTCCGAGCATAGCCCTCTCCATAGCTCGCTGAGCGACTTTGAGCGTCCTCATACGGCCAGCAGTGAAGGACCACGGCTTGACCAATTTCGACGAAATTTTTTGTGTGTGTTTGAATGGGTTCCTAGATAGTTTAGATTCACATTTGGACTTGGTAGGTGTCGCTGTTGTCGAGATCTACAATACACGTGTGTGAAGCCGGGGCGGATCGTTAGTATGAATATTTAAAAAATACAGGTTATTAGTTTCATTATGTATATGGTAACATGAAATAAAAAAATACTCTCTCTTACTCTATAGCGTATTATATACGAAAAAAAAGCCAAAAGCTTGGTGAACAAACAACTACAATGAGAGATCATATTATTAGCATAATACAAGCAGGAATGAGAGATAATTTTATATCTGTAAGTCATTATTAGCATTTATTTTTATTTTATTTAATATGGGTGACAAACAAGCGCACAGTCCACCTGATGGTAAGTGGAAGCTGTGGCCCAAAGATATTTACATTTATCCTCGATTAACAACCAAAACAGATGCGTTGTCCCTGGCAGACTAAAATGGAATGCCTCGTTTCCAGTAAATAATATTATGAAAGCGGCCAAGAGCGTGTCGAGCCACGCTCAGTGTAGGGTTCCGTAGTTTCCCGTCCGTCACAATAAGTGTTCCCACTTATGAGTTTAAAGGTGGGTATCCATTATGTTCGCGCTCCAGCAGCGCTCCGCGCTCCTGCAACTGCTCCCGGTAGTGGGTACTGTTGTTTCCATCCAAGTTCAAAATGATTTTCCTAGAAAGTCCTTATAAAGTTCTACTTTTCAAATTTTTTTCATATTTTCTAAACTTATGGTTCAAAAGTTAAAGGGGGGGGGGGACACATTGTTTTTTACTTTTGGAGCGATTATTTCCGAAAATATTGACACTATCAAAAAATGATTCTAGTAAACCCCTATTCATTTTTAAGTACCTTTCCAACAATATATCACACGTTAGGGTTGAAATTAAAAAAAAATCACTTCCCACTTTACATATAGGGGGGCTACCCTAATAAAACATTTTTTTCCAATTTTTATTTTACCACTTTGTTGGCGTGATTGATACACATATTGGTACCAAATTTCAGCTTTCTAGTGCTAACGGTCACAGAGATTAAACGAGGACGGACAGACGGCCAGACAGACATGGCGAAACTATAAGGGTTCCTAGTTGACTACGGAACCCTAAAAAGGGTATTCGGATCTCTATACTCACCATACGAAACACAGCAGTATTAAGTTGCTATTTCACGATGATATTCTGTGAGAGCGTGGAACTATTTGTATGCTTTTGTTCTTTTCAACTATTATAAGCCAATGCTAGACTACCACACCCGCCTGATGGTGAGTGGTGATAAGTCAAACATATATAGGTCAAGTGCACTGACTAGGTTTAAGAAAAGCATATTCACTTTTGCCTTGAAAACACATTGTAGTTGGATGGGAAGAAATATGCTGGAAAATTATCCCTATTTCCTCTTGCTTTCAACACACCCACATTGTAATCAGATATAAAAATAGGTAATTATTCCACTCCAATGCTATATGGTTTACAAAAGAAGAAGCAAACAATTTGGTTCAAATGTGTACTGCATCGATAAAAAAGGTGGTGAAACTGGCAGTAATGTGTCGGTTGGTGGAAGGAAGTGAGAAGAATTATATCATGCTATTCCTTCACACACCCCTAAATTTTTCCTGTAGAACACAAAGACTAGTTATTTTGCACCAATGCTTGAGACTGGTAAGATTGGCTTTAACCAAAATGAGGGCACAAATAAGTCTCCTATCATAATAGTATAAGGGTGACAAACGAGCACACAGTCCACCTGATGGTAAGTGGATGGCTACAAATACATGGAAGAAACATTATTTTCTACGAATACAAATGAATAAATTTGTATGTATGAGGTTTTGCAGGTTATAGTTACTTACCCGGTTTGAAGTAGCAGTGTGTTGTAATGCTTTATTTATGTCATTGATAGAGTGTATCGACACATCCAGAGTGGAGGACTCGTGCTTTTCGTCTTTGGGTTTTCTTTGCTGCGGTTGGTGTTTCTTAGCTTCCGGGTTCTGAAAATGATACGATATGAATAAGAAAGCAACCTTTTAATAATCACCTTAGTGATTAAAATCACGGTTAAACTAACTTTATAATATATCAGAAGTTATTAAAAGGGCAAGATGTTTCTCAAACATACCTTGACAATTGTTAAGATTGTGATAAAATCAAAGGTACCACTAGGAAAACCCTCTCAGAAATGAGGGGAGGCCTGTGCCCAACAGTGGGACGTATATTGGCTGTAATTTTACTTTTTTTTGCTAGGAAAACACAGTAAATGTCTTCACCATAGCTTATTATAATACATACATAATAGAACGGGGGAGTGGGCGGAGCCCGTGTAGCCACCAAAATGCCACTAACACGTCGATTCACACGTATAAATGTCAACACGAGATGTGTTTTGACGTTACAACCGTTTCCAAATTTCGCATGCAAATTATTTAGAAAATGCCAAATTGCACGCTATTCACAAATAAATATGTATTAAAATCCATCTGTCAACACAGCAAATCAGGTTTGTAGTAGTGATTAACAGATAATACGACGTAATTGTTTGTATGTGTGCTCCCGGCGACGCCGAATTTCGTACAAAATAAGTTTGACAGCCATTCTATTGTGTATTATAGTATTCTATGGTCTTCACAAACAGACACAAAAACAATTCGCATCTCATTGCAAATAGTAGTTTATAACAAGGTTCCAACTACAGTGTTCAATAAAGACTGTTTTAATAAAGATCCATGGAAAATATGCAAACAGAAACGTAAAATTTGGAATTTAACTGCAACCATTAAATTTTGTGAAGACTGTGGTGTTGACTATCAATAAACCACATTTTGTTATAAGACCGTAAAAAAAAGTAAAAAAGTAAAGTTACAGCCTATATACGTCCCACTGCTGGGCTCAGGCCTCCCCTCTCTCTATATAAAACTGTTTGTACAAATGTTTAATTCTAGCTAGGATTCGAAATCAGGACCCATTAGTTTATTTATTCTATACAGCCCATCAAAAGTTCCCGCCTTAGGCCTCCCCATAGATTGCCTTGTAGAGGTAATATTTGCACTAATTTCTACGCTTGGCAGGCAGGTTGGCATCCATAGTTCTTTATTACTATTATTGAGGAGTTTTCGGGAAAATGTTACTGCCCTGTTTCAGTTTCCCTCTATTGTCTTTTACACGGCACCCACGACTTGGTACGCAGGTATTCTGATCAATAAGTCATGCTTCACCTTAAGTGTTCCATTACATTTTCGTCTTCATGGGACTACTTGGACATAGGCCTCCGCCATTCCAGGGAGAAAATGCCAAGATTGCCACGCTTGACGTGTAGATTCATATTTAATACGAAATGATTAATACCACGTATCTACAGGAGACTATGAAATCTTCATATCATTTGCCAGTCAACTTTCACGGTATCCATGGTTTGGGTCGTGGCATTTTCTTAAGTCGTCGCTACATGTCAACATTAATGGAATGTAGAAAACTGTATACTTTATAATTCCTATATTCTCAATTTTCTATGTAGTGAGTGTCATTAGCCCTTTACATTTTCTCAAAAAAATTAATTCTACGCTATTTATATTGCTTTCGTCGCATAGGTGTTGGTAAAGGCGACTGTGGGATATGCTAAAAAAGTTCTTAAGGTTATCGATAGATGGCGGTATAGACATTTCGTTAGCGGTATACGTAAAATACCCAGACTAGTGACGGAATGCAGTCTCAAAGGTGAGAAACTTCTAGTATTCCGATTGTCAATCTGTCTGCCAAACATTATGATTGAAACAAAACCTACAATGAGAGTGGCCTTTTTATTCAGCAGTGAATATTTATGATGAGGAAGATTCTAGAAATTGGCCCATTCTAGATTAGAGCTGCAATAGTAGTTGTCCGTTTTATGTTCTTCTAGACATCTTCAAGAAACAACCAAAAAAAAATTTCTTGTGGAGATTGATATGATTGACAATCTATCCGTCTGTAAGACTTATACACGCCAAAAATAAAAACAATGTTTATTAATGTTTTTTGAAGTGAAAACTTCTTTAGGCACGTTGGGCGATTTTTGGATGGGTAACATCTTATGTGTTCGCGTCACCAACAAGCTTTAATAGCAGTATATATAAAGCTATAAGAGTGAATATATAATGAGTATATAAGTTTAATTATTATGTCAATTAAGTAGTATTTAATTTATATTTTGTTCTCCGGCTTGTTTTAATTTTTGATACTATAATTAACATGAAAATAAAGTTTTTTCATAATATAAAGTTATTACTTTTTTAAATGGAAGTCCTCGCTGTCTACTAAATTATTCAATTGTTTTCACCTGAAATCGGATAATGGAAGCTATGTTGAACTATTTATCTGGCCTAAATAATAAAAAAGTAATTACTAACAAAGTTATGATGCGATAGATCATCCTCCCAATTATTGATCTGGTCTGCTAAGGCTGCAAGTCTTCCGAACTTTTTCTTGCCATCGTGCGTTGGCTTCGTCTCTTTCGATGGTTCTGATACTGATGGCGGCGTGGCGGAGTTGAATTCTAATTCTGTACGATGTATTGGCGATGATAGATTAGGTTCATCTGAAAAATGAAATTTTGTTATTATAAAGTGGTTGATTAACAGATTTTGTCACGATAAAAAAATATTATCACATTAGTTTTTGTCCAATGGGTGTCGAAAGTGGCTTTGGCTTTCGACATAATATATCGCGGCGCTATACGATCTCGTTTACGCCAGGCGTAAAATACGCTGACCGGCAACGGACAGCAGCGCCAAAGGTGTGAGACATCTGGTACTGTCTATTCACCCGCCCAAGGCTCATATTTTTTTATACAATAAGGGTGACAAATGAGCAAACAGCCTACCTGATGGTACGTGGATGCTGTACATTTATCCACAATTAAGAATCAAAATGCAGTTACATTGTCACCCATGAGGACTAAGATGGAATGCTTCATTTCCAGTAAAAAGGGTCTCTACATACAGTCACCTGTATGGTGAGTGTAGTGATCCGGAATATTATTAAGCTGCTATTTGACGCTGGTATTCTGTGAGAGTGTGGTCATTTGTACAATTTTTTTTTATAGAATAGGTTGACAAACGAGCACACAGTCCACCTGATGGTAAGTGGTTGCTGTGGCCCAGAGACATCTACATCTGTCCTCGATTACGAAACAAAATTCAGACACGTTGTCACCCGTGAGGACTTAGGTGGAATGCCTCGTTTCCAGTAAAAAGTGTCTCCGGTTCTCTACACTCACCATACGAAACACAGCAGCATTAAGCTACTGTTTGACGCTGGTATTCTGTGAGAGCGTGGTTCCTCCTCGGTCGAGCTGACCCATTCGTGCTACAACTATATTATTAATATAACTGCAGCATGGCTATACCACGTAAAAACCATAATACTACAACCATAATATAGCTGTAGCGTGGCCTAGTGGAGATGGACTTTATGGGGCTAAACATTTTTAATTAAGAATGTTTACATTAAAAATCTAGTCCCAAATCTGTACACACTGGATACATCGGTTATATTGTTTCTCAAAGCCGAATACAAAAATAATCAAAAAAGGGACGAATATAAGCATGTGGCTATGTATTTAAATTCGAAAAAAAGAATGTGAAATGTCGACGCCCACCTACACACAATTGATAACAATTGATTGAACCCATTCTTTTTTATAATAATTAACATTATTTTTTATAACAATGGAAATTGTTATCAATGCTAGACAAACATTAGGTACACATAAAATACGTGAGAGTGCATTACATGAATGCATAATTTGGTCACATTTTTATTCTGCACGGAAAAACTCAATGACATCCCTTATTTAAACTATATTTTCACAAGATTTTGCAAAAAAGACCTACACAATGTCTTAAGATATTCTCTTGATATTAAAGTAGTGTGTGTAATAAGCCAATAAGAGTAGCCATTAATAAAGTATATACTGTTTTCAGTGTGGTGGTGGCGCCAAAATAAATTATGATAGATTCGGATGGAATTGGCAACTTGCACCATAAGCGTCATAAGCTTCGAATGTAAGGAAAGCCAGATCTTAGATGGGGGTTGACCACCATATATATGCCAGATGCAAAATATAGATCGTCAGAAGCATGGCAAAAGGGGAAAAGTATGTTCAGCAATGGACAATTTACCTTCCAACAAACTAACCTTTAAAATACTTTTTATTTTAAAGTATATTTGTCATCCAATTCTAGCACAAGTAAAGGAATAGTTCAGGTCAAAAATCTATTATCAACTACACTGAAATTCGATTTCAATAAGCTATAGTCTATGGGAGTGCTTTGGACTTTATATTAGAATGACGTAACTTACAATGGTTTTTTAACTTTCTGCTAAGAAAATTGAAACTTTTCAAAAATCGCAAGTTATTGTTTTACCTAATTTTTCGAAAATTGAGTTTTCATCAAATCGTTTTGAATTTTGAGGTCACAGGAAGCCTCCCTGACAATTTTCCTATGGTGTCTGTATGTATGAACGGCTTGACCGATGGAAATGAACTAAGCCGATTTTCAAAGTGTATCACCAAACTTAGATTTTCTATGAATTTTACCTAACCCGGTAGATTTTGAGAAATCTCAAAAAATTCTCTCTTCTCAAAAATTTTGAAAAACTATTTTTTAGAATAAATTTTAAACGGCTTTATGGATTGATTCCAAAAACTAATCTAAGCTTTTTAACCTTGAAAAACCACGTCGATCACCGCCGGTCCGGTCATAATCAGTTGATTCGTTCGTGAGATATCGTTAACGAATTTTTTTTTAAAATTGTTTTTTTTTTTAATTACTCTGATATTCATATTCAACGTCATAATTTGGTAAAATTTGGAACGCTTTGTATTTGAAATTAGCGGGAAGTTTCAAGGAGGGCTGCAGGATCAAACAATTTTTTAAAAATAAATTCCATTTAGATTAACAAGTGGTAAAATTATTGCTTTTTAACAACCGACTTCAATCAACAAAAAAACAGTTCGACTTATTTCGATAAATTTTAACACCTGGGAAGTATGTAAGATACTCTTTGAAACAAAAAAAAAATTCAAATTGGTTCAAGTGTCTTCGAGTAATCGGTTAACATTCATAAAAAAAAGATTCCAATGAATTGAGAGCCTCCTCCTTTACACAACTATAAATTTCGTTAAATCGTCGTAATTGTAGTGCTTTTAAAAACCCAATCAAAATATGCAAAAAATTATGATGTAATTTACTCACCAGAATACAGGTTTCCTAATCTGTCCAGTCGGGATTTTATATTATGGCGTAACGCAGGACGTTCAGTCTTAGCGTCCGCCGTGTGACTTTCTTCCTTCTCCACGATTGCGCGAGAGGTGTCGTCTGAAAAAAATATAGAAAATCCTTAATTTTTTATTTAGGTATTACCTGTTTTTTATAGGAGGGGCAAACGAGCATACGGTTCAAGTGATGGTAAGCAATTACCGCCGCCCATGAGCAACTGCAACACCAGGGTAATTGCAGATGCGTTGCAGGCCTTTTAAAAAGGAGTAGACCCTTTTCTTGAAGCCAAGTCGTATCGGTCCGGAAAAATCTCTGGTGGTAGTCGATTCCACAAGGAAGTTGTACGAGGAAAAAACTTCTTTTAAATCGCACGGTGGTGGACCGCCAGTCATTCAGATGGTATGGATGATATCGTGAGTTTTGTCGCGATGTGCGATGGTGAAATTGTGCGGCTTGAATTAGTCCGAACTATTCGATGCGATAAAATACGCAGAGATGCAACATCTCTTCGCATCGCATTTTATTGCATGGATGAGTCGATCCGGGAAAGGTCACATTCTTACAGATTATCCTTCTAACAAAGCAGTATAATGATGTGTTGCGTTTCGTTTAGTGAGTGATAAATACCTTATAGTATTTACTCGTAACGAGAAGTTTCATAATTTCATATTCGTCTTCTGGGGAGGCGACGCGTCTGTATTTAGATTTCTAATCGGGGATGGCTGTATGGTCTATAGTTAGTCGCACTAACATGTACATGAGTAAAAAATTAACGGTGAAATTGCGACGCAAAAAAAAATGTGTGGTAAGGAGTTGATTAGGCAAAAGCCTCAAACCGTACACTGATAGCCATATTATATACTAGCGATCCGACCCGGCTTCTCACGGGTGATTTCAGTATCTCGACAACATCGTCACACACCGGGTCTAATCGTCAATCTAAACCACCCAGGAACCCACTTAAACGCACACAAAATCTTTTATCCAAATCGTTTTCAAGTTTTAGTGAGACTATTAGACAGCAATTGATTTTTATAACAATATAAATTCGAAATTTAAGGTCAGACATTAACTCCCCTAATGGAAAAACTATATAATTCAATAAGAATTAATACTACGATATATAAGAATGTAACCAACGTTTATTTCTACCGGTAATTTAATGTTAATTGTAGAACACAAAAGCTACTATTGTGACTTAAGGGGAAATATAATCTCAAATGGCTTAGCAAGATCCTTCGTTATGCCGAAAATATTGCAGCATTAATTTTGAAATAAATATATGGTAAAGTTGGATTAATGTTAAGGATTATGTTAGACGAAAACACGATTTTGTAAAATTTTCTCGATAGAAAAAAAATCCAAAGTTACCTCCAAAATAAACAATAAACCGCTGTTATTCATAAAATACTTTAAATAAGATCATGAAACTTTGCATACTAACTGAACTAACTATAAAGCAGCGCTTATGTTATTTACTTTTTTAAAATACCATTATTTTCACTGTAAAAAGAAATAACCTAAACTATCGGCCTTTTGAAGCGTGATTCCTGCCGCACGGTCACTTCGCTTCAGCCTTTGAACGGAGAGGTGGCGTCGCTTACGATCAGAATATACATTACGCAACAGGACGACGTAAAATTAAAATGGGAAATAACCGTAATAAAAATAAGAAGCGACTGGCTTGGCGTTAAGAAACAGGCATAAATATGATAAACCTAATGAAATAAGTGTCTAATGACCTTTCCGTACTTACAGTATTAGTGATTACAAACATGTCGGTACATAGCAAACGACGCGCGGGCAAGTGGGGACGAAATTAGAATTTGAGCTGACTTACTCTATCCCCTTAACTATGTTACGTATATAGTTAGAGTATGTTATGAGAGACATAATTTTTATGTATCATCAATAGTTTTCTTTTCTTTTGAAAATAAATTATATGTTACTTGTTGATAATTTAGCTTTCTATTGGTGAAAAATGGTTAAAGTCGGTTCAGTAGTAACAGTAAAAAAAATCTTTATAGTATAGGTTATAAACCAAAGAAACTGGCCAGAGCATGCTGCAGCTATATACGTGGTAGAGCCATGCTGCAGTTATATTAGTAGTATAGTTGTAGCACGAATGAGTCGGCTCGAGCGGGGAAGGACCACGCTCTCACAGAAATCCAGCGTCAAATAGTAGCTTAATGCTGCTGTGTTTCGTATGGTGAGTGTAGAGAGAGATCCGGAGACCCTTTTTACTGGAAACGAGGCATTCCACCTAAGTCCTCACGGATGACAACGCATCTGCATTTTGATTCGTAATCGTGGATAGATGTAGCTGTCTATGGACCACGGCAACCACTTACCATCAGGTGGACTGAGAGCTCGTTTGTCATCCTATCCTATAAAAAAATAGGTCGGTTCGATCGGTGTAGGACCACGCTCTCACAGAATACCAGCGTAAAATAGCAGCTTAATGCTGCTGTGTTTCGTATGGCGAGTGTAGACAACCCTTTTTACTGGAAAACGATGCATTTCATCTCAGACCTCAAGGCTGGCAATGCATCTGCATTTTGATTGTATGGTCCACAACATCCACTTATCACCCTTATTCAATAAAAAAGTAGTGTGCTATAGTCAACCAAATCTAAGAAATATATTTGACAGCTGTCAGACTTATTGCACCAAGCATGCCAACCAAAAAATGGGAACGTACAATATTCGATTCTTAAAAAAAATCGATATCGATTATTTAGTGTTATTGTAGTTGGTAATCATTTGAAGTTTGGTTTGAATAATACCAGAATAAATTAAAAACGGATAGACACAAGATTTATCAGTTTCTTTGTATTTGTTATTACTGTTGTTGTAATTATTTTATGAGGCACAGTTATAAAAAATTAAGATTGAAAATAGATTAAAATAAAATTATTCAATCACTTTCAGTACAACTAGTAGAGATGTCGTTGTTTATATTAATTGTTATTTGATTTTGAAAAATGCAGTCAAAATTAATGTCCCTTTCAAAGCTATCCATAATAACTTGTTTTGTTTTTCTACCACTTTTCCCAATCATCTCTTTTGTGACGTGGGCACATGTTTTAATTAATATAGAAGAAACAGTCCAAAAAGTTAAAGCCGAGTCACAAAATAGGAACACATACACAAAATCACAAAATTACACACAGTAAGCTCTCGAAACAGAAACAGAAACTTTTTTATTCAATATAGATTATGAATAATACTTATTGAAAGTCACTTTTTTTCATTTACCACTGGTTCGGGAAAAATAAAACTCTGTCCTGGGAAGAACCAGCAAGAAACCCAACGGGACTAGTTTAAATAAAATAAGAGCTTGCAATCATGCGTGTTACAATTTACAACACAAAAAAATAAGAAATAGCTTGGTAGCGATCACCTTTCCCAGGGGTGAGTTATTATCATCCATAAATTCCTTAATATTAAAATAACCCTTTTTATACAAACTTAGTTTAATAAAGTTTTTGAACTTTGTGTACTTACATCAAATTTTGTATATTTTCTGGGATTTCGTTGTTAAAGCATATACATCGCCTCAAGAATTAATTACTGACTTTGTGGAGTCGAGTAACTGGTACCGAAATGGCGGGATATTGAAATTATGTAGTGGTTATCTTAGCACGGCCTTGCCTATGAGCTTTTTTGCCTACACAAATTTACTTTGCAACGTAAAAAATACAATTGTTTTATTCATGATTCATGTAATTTAAGGAATTTTGAAAATATAATAAAAATAAACAAATAATACATTAAAAAAATTAATGATTCGATTATTTGAATATTTTTACCGATTATTTGAATATCTTGCCGATTATTCGCATAACAATGAATTTTAATCATCCAAACACTACGGTAATATACATAGCGACATAATATCATTGAAACGACGTCATTGTAAAAAAATACTGGTTATTTTTTAATATTTTGCTTTGTTTGAAAAATTCAAATTTAAATTAGTGATAAAAAACTATACACGTTGTAATGAAATATAGATAACTTCATAATTCTTCGGATTTACGTAAAAGGTTATTTTAAATCGTGTGAGTACGCTTGTGCAAAGTTATTCTGATGTGGAACGTCAAAACGTATTTCTTAGATTTGGTTGACTATAGTATATTATGTGACGTCTAGCACTGTTACCCGCGTGCTATGTTTGGGGATTATGGCTAATAGTATTTCGGATGTAGTTGACAGTAAATCGGTTATCCAAGTTGGCTTTCTACAATCGTAAAGTACTATAATGTCGTCCAGACCGAATTTCAGTTAGGGCGATAAGCCGCAGTACAATGATTATAGTGCATTGGGTGTACAGGTGTACTGTTTAGTTCCTGAGTCTTCGATGGAACGGCAATCCGACACGACCAGATCAGGCGCAGGACCGAGGCACGGGGGTGAAATACCGCATTTTTCTGCTATAAAATTTTTTTTATATTTTTTTTGGCTAATAGCCAGTTCGCTATTAGTGTTGACGACTGTAGACAGTCAACTTGGCTAAACCTGCTGGAATTGTGATTCTGCCATTACGGTTCCGTGCAGTGGCTAATCATTAAGTTGCAGCGCTAAGGGACGCAGGTTTGATCCCGCACTACATATATTTGTCCCGGATCTGGCTGTTCGTCCTTGTTTATTTTTTTATTTTATTGAATAAGGTACACAAACAGACAGTAGTTATATAAAGGTCTAAAATTAAAAGTATATTGGTGTTGATCTAAACTACAATCCAAAAAAGTGTACACAGCATAATAATATAACTGCAGTAGAATCTTAGTCTTAGCAAAAATAAAACCGATAACAAATACATTAAATGATAAGAGAAACACGTAAATTTCTTTGAAATCTGACCGGGCTACTATCGAATATATCTAGATGTACGTTACTACGCTTAATATCGTCGTAATCACAGCACATTCTTACAACAGGGTTGAAAAAGGAAGTGTTATTCTTTTGTACGTCTAACCTGAAAATTCTTTGAACACGTTGTCTTATACCGGAATTGAAGTTAATTAGCCTTAGTAACTCTGAGCACTCTATACGAGAATGCACAATCTTGTGCAAAAAAACTTGCTCAGCAAATT